CTCTGCGCGAGAGCTGAAACTGCAGCTGCAGGAGCTATCGGACACCTGGCAGGTGGGAGTTCAGTGAGCTGGGAGCGGCCAGGCGCCCCCTCTGGCAGCCCTTGGAGGAAGGCCACGACCCAGGCCTGTGGTCTCCTCTGAGCACAGACTGAACACGGACACCCCTACCCTCCACCCCGCTCCAGGCGCATCTGTCCCGAGGCGGCCGCTGGAAGGAGTCCCCGCGGAAGCTGGTCTTGGGCGAACTCCAGGACGAGCTGATGAGCGTGCGTCTGCGTGAGGCCCAGGCCCTGGCCGAGGGTCGCGAGCTACGGCAGCGTGTGGTGGAACTTGAAACCCAGGTGGGCGCTCGGCCCCAAAGCCCGCCTACGTGGGGGAGGGTGCTTGGTGTTGGTGCCCATTGGCCAGGCAGTGATCCCCGCTGTCCCGCTTTCTTTCCCACCCTTAGGACCACATCCACCGCAACCTGCTGAACCGCGTGGAGGCCGAGCGCGCCGCGCTGCAGGAGAAGCTGCAATACCTGGCCGCGCAGAACAAGGGGCTGCAGACGCAGCTCAGCGAGAGCCGCCGCAAGCAGGCCGAGGCGGAGTGCAAGGTGCCGTCCCTTGCCCAGCCCTCCCGGCCCTGCCCCAGCCCTCGCCGCCCCCCTGACAGCCCCTTCTCTCCCATCCCAGAGTAAGGAAGAGGTGATGGCCGTGCGTCTGCGGGAGGCGGACAGCATGGCTGCGGTGGCTGAGATGAGGCAGCGCATCGCGGAGCTGGAGATCCAGGTGAGCGGGGTTCTGGGCGGGGATGTGGAGGTCAGACTTGGGGGCCGGGCCCTGCCTGCTCTGACCGCAGGTGCCCTGGCTCTCCCCGCAGAGGGAGGAGGGCCGCATTCAGGGCCAACTGAACCACTCAGACTCGTCGCAGTACATCCGTGAGCTCAAGGACCAGATTGAGGAGCTGAAGGCGGAGGTGAGCGTTCGGGAATACCGGTGACAGGCCAGGCGTCGGTGCAGTAAGAAGGATGCTTCTAGGAGGGCGGGGGAGGAGGGTGCCTGGCAGCTGGACTCCGGCGTGGGTACATCGGCCCACCCCTCCAGCGCGCCGGTCCCCGCCCCAGGTGCGGCTGCTGAAGGGCCCGCCACCCTTCGAGGATCCACTGGCTTTCGATGGACTGAGCCTGGCCCGGCACCTGGATGAGGACTCGCTGCCATCGTCAGACGAGGAGCTGCTCGGCGTGGGCGTGGGCGCTGCTCTACAGGACGCGCTCTACCCTCTGTCCCCGCGCGATGCGCGCTTCTTCCGACGTCTGGAGCGACCCGCCAAGGACAGCGAGGGCAGCTCAGACAGTGACGCAGATGAGCTGGCCGCGCCCTATAGCCAGGGCCTGGACAACTAAGACCCGGTTCCCCGCTGCGGAGCCGGGAAGCCACAGCCTCGGTACGCGGGGCAGTCAACCGCCTGCTACTCCGCACACGCACTTAAGAACTCCACGCCTCGGCGGCTCCGCCTACCCCAGGGCCGAGTCAGCGAGGCAGCACGTAGAGGGCAGGGCCCCGGCAGGCCCTCCCTCCCCAGCAGTGTTTACCCTTCTTGGGTGGTACCTCTCCGGCCCTCTCGTGTCCCACGGGTGGTGCCTGAGCAGTTACCTGGAAGGTCTGCCCTCCACACTGAGGGCAGGGGCGGCGATGAAGAGATGGCAGGACTGGATGAGTGGGCTTCCTTCAGAAACAAGGGCGGCCCTGCTGGGAAGGGCCCAGGAGCTAGAAGAGGCCTGAGGAAGAGGGGCAGCTCTGGGCTGGACATTAGCACCCCACGAGAATGCCCTCAGGACACAGTGACCCTTGATCAGCCAGCTCCTGGCTGCCAGGGACAGATGACCAGGCTAGGCTTTCCTGCCTGGTGCAGGCATTGTGGCCCCTGTAGCAGAAACCAAAGTCCCCCCTTATGTAAAGGACCACCTGGGGTGTGAGTGGCCAGCAGGGGCCAGCTCAAGCCTGGGCAGTATTTCCCTGCTTCTCTGGGGCCAGAGAAGCTATAAGGAAGCAAAGAGATCCCTCTCCCCAGCCCCCCATCATCTTCTGGGAATTACTGGCATCACCTATCTTGGCCAGTGATGGAAGGGGACTCTTTCCTTGAGATTCCTCAGCCTCATCCACTTTTCTTCCTTCCTGTGGCCCTAGCCCCACCCTCAGGCTAGGGTCAGGCCCATGGGTGGAGTTTCCCAGCAGAGTTGCCTCCTCCAGTCTCTGCTGAACCCAAGTTGAGAACGGTGCCAAAGTCCAATGATGCCCCCCCAGACCCTTTCCAAGTCCCACCCGGGGCCTCCTGACTGTCAGGGCTGACCCCCTCGGTGCTCCTGGAGCCTCGAGTAGAGTACCATCACAAGCAATCTCCCTGGCACATCCTGGGGTGGGGACCCCTGCTCAGTATCCCCTTCCTGGTCACCCACTCTTCAGTGTTACCAAGCCTGGGGACCAGGGCAGGCACCTGCGGGGCTGTCCCACATGCCACCCACACTGCCCACCACCATTTTGCACACTGCCTGTTCACACTCCACATGTCGCCCAGGCGAGAAAGATGGAAAATAAAGTGTATTTACACAGTCATGGACAAGGGGCTCTGAGTCGGGCAGGCCTGAGGTGGAGAGGATTACAGCAGCAACAGGTGCCCTGTCCCTGGCCAGCAACAGAGCTGAGAGGCAGTGCTGTCCTTGCCCTCCAGAGCTTCCTGCAGTCTAACACAGTTGCCAGGAGAGGAAAGGGCATCATCTGTGGTCGCTGGTTGGTGTGAGCAAGGCTGTGGGAGAGGTGGAAGACAGGATATGACCCCCACTGAGGCCTCCCCTGGGACACAAGCAGAAAGCCCAGCTTCCAGAAGAGCAGGATCTGGTTGCCTTCATTCAGCACACACTTCAAGAAGCTTTCTAGGGTGCTCTGTCCTGTGCCTTATTCAAGTATGGTGAAGATTGAACTGCCACTAATGTGGTAAGTGCCAAACAGACAGCAGTTTGAGGAAATCAAGGACGACTTCCTGGAGGAGACAATGTCAGAGCTTTCTTCAAGGGCAAAAGCATGAAGGCTAGATGTCACTGGGACCAGCAAGGAAGGGACAGGATACCCAGGAAGAAGAGGAAAACTTGGGTGTGGCCAGAAAAGGAAGGAGTTACTTGGGTTAGGATGGAGAATTTGGGCTTTGAACTGAAGGCAGTGGGAGCCAATTGAGGGCATAGGGGAGAAGGACACCATCAGATAGACGACGGCGTGTTTGGAGGTCAGTGAAGAAGCTGGTGCAGAGACCACGCCAAGCCAGGCAGTAGGGACAGTGGGTGGAAGCACCCTGGGAGAAGAGGACCCAAGGAGGCAAGAGTCCTTTGTGGGGCTTCCTATGAAGCTGAGCTGGAGTCCCAGCTGGTGTGTGGAGGGACAAAGCGGGGATCACAAAGGAAGGCTGCAGAGGGCAGAATCTTATTTGGTCTGGGCAGATGACAACCAGGCCCTGCCCTCCGCACCAGTGTGGACCCCAAAAATGGCCCCCTCTGCTACCTGATGACTGCTGGGCAGCCAGACATGACAGTCTTTGCATGCCAGGATAACCAAGTTCACATATTGTGTCACGCGGGATGCCTCTGGGGCAACACCCATCATTACCAGATTTACCCACAGTCCCTGTGCCTTCTGCTTCCCTGGGGCAACTGGCTCCACCCCAGTCATTTCCCCGGGCTAGAGCAGGGCTCCTGAGGAGCCATCTGAGCTTCTCCCCCGCCTTTTCCTGGGGCTGGCCTTCAGGTCCTGGCTGCCCAGCATATCAAGAGTCAGCCTCTCCTGGGCCTGTCTCAGTGTCTGAGAACAAGAAACTCTGGTTTCCCACCAGGGCCCAGTTGGAGAGGAAACTCTATCTGGGAGGCTGAATGAGGGAGCTGGCTGGCCTTCCATTCTACTCACTATTGGCTCCCCAGGGTGGAGATAACACAGCCCCTCTGGGCCCATTTATCTTTGGACCCCAGGCTGGGAGGTAGCTGTTTTGAGGTGGGGACAGACACAACTTGGTGATCTTTTCTGACAAGGGCCTGGTCACTGGGTGGAGTAAGGGGACCAGGTCCAAAGGTCCCTTTGCCCCATCATTCTCAGTGTCCAGCAGAGGCCCTTGAGGAGGAAAAGCCTAGGGGGGAACTCCTTGCAGAGGTGTTCGGGAAGGTGGGAGGGCCTGGAGTGGAGCTAGAAGGGATCTGGCATGGGAGTGTCTGGGCTGGGTGCAGGGCAGGAAGCGCAAGGAAAGATGTGGGGACAGGGGATGTCGCAGGTAGGGCACAGGGCAAGAATGTTTGTGGGGTTATGATGCACAAAATGGCCCAGTGAGGACTGCCCATCTCCCACCCAGCCCTGGCAGAGGCCACTTCTTCCTTGCAGGCTCCGACCAGGTCAGTCAGCCCAACACACCTTACATCCAAGAAGTGTCCTTTAAGCCCCTGGCCCGGCTGCTGGTTTGCCTTCTGCACTACAGTCACAGAGGGCGGAGTGCCCAGGGTCAGGAAGGTGGCAGGGGAACAGAGGACACCAATGGACCCCTTCCTCGGCCTCCAGGCCCTACTCTGGGTAGGAGAGTCCCTACCCAGAGGACGCATAAGGTAAGGGGATGTGCGCTGTGGGAAGAGGGCCAACCCTTCTCGCTTTTAACCCAGGAATGGGGAGAGCTCAGTTGCTTCTCCACTATAGATGTGCATTGCATTTGCTCATCTGTTCGCTCCCCTCTTGAGCCTAATGTTTCCACTAGAAGTAGGACCTAAAGAACTACAAATTCATGGACTTGGGTAGGCATGTACCGCGGGGCGACCAGGGCTCCTCTGCGGCAGCCCCACCTCTCCTGCCCCTTTTTTTCCTCAGGTGAAGAGGTTCAGCCAGAATTCCCACCTGTCCCCCGCAGCTGCCAGAACCCCTCGCGCTGGTCAGCTGCCCACTGGTTCTGTGGAGGTCCCCCAAGTCCCGACCCTGAGGCGAGATTGAGGGCACACAAACTCCAGCGTCCCGGTTTTATTGCAAACTCGGGCTGCACCGGGTAGACAATGCACAGGACATGGGACGGGAGCAAAGCAGGACTCACGGAGAGCAGAGGCGCGTCTTAGATTAAATGGGTAGCCTCGAGGGGAGGTCCTAGGCCAAGGGTGTGGGTGGGCCCCAAAGGTAGAGGTGGAGCTTGGTCCCAAAGACTGCCACACTAGGGGCTACTAAAAACAATCTAACGACAGAGGGGCTCCAGGGCAATGGGGGCGGGGTCTAAGACAAAGAGGTGTAACCGGAGGAGCGGACCCTAAAACAGGGGTGGTTGGCGGGGCTACCGTCTGGCTTAGTGGAAAGTCTCCACTTCCACCACAGTCCAGTCACCCTGCGGGGAGGCCACGTCATCTGGAGAGAAGCTGGTGACCGAAGTGATGCTGGCACGGGATTCGTCCAGAGGAGACAACAGTTCGGCCCAGCGGCCCAGTTCGGCGTCGCTGAGCGGAGCTCGGGAGCTCCCGGTGACACCACCACCTCCCGCACCCCCTGGACCACTGCCGCTGCCTCCCGCACTACCCTCGGCCGCCGCCAGCAGCAGTGTCCGGCTCAGCAGGTGCTGCACGACGCTAGCCTGCAGCGCCCCCAGCGGCAGCTCGCCCAGGCGCGCAAGCTTTGGGCTCCGCGAGGACACCCCAGTCCCGGGCCCGGTCGCAGCCTTCCCACCACCAGCGCCGGACTCGGGCCCCTGATCCAGTGCTCCTGGTGTGGGAGTCGCCGACTCAGGCCCTTCCGCCTCATAGATGGTGCACAGACCATCAGTTGAGCCAGGCCCGGCAACTGGAGGCCACGGCAGGGCCGATCCTGCCGGGAAAGATTAGATCTTGAGCAGAGAGAGCTGGAAATTCGGTCCCCAATCCAACTGGCCCTCCCACAAGCTGCGAGCCCCGCCTCCTGCCCCACCCACAGCCCGGTCCGGCCCACAATCTCCCTTACCTGGCGCGCCGCGGATTGCCAGTGGTGGAGCCGAACTTCGGCTCCAGGCGGCCGGGTGGCAGGCTGCGAGCTCCGCGTCTGCAGGTGGGGAGGCTGCGGCGCCACCTTCGGGCCCGCTGTCGTAGCCGCGCAGCTCCTCGGGCGTGCTTGTGGCGCTGCTACTGTGGCCGGCCAGGTCCGGGCCGCTCAATGTACTGGAAGGGCTGCGCGAAGGTGGCGGCGGCGCAGCGGGGGCCAGTGCCAGGGTCAGCCGTGGACCCGATATGGAAGCATCTGGACCTGGGGTCGGGGGGCGGCGTGGAACCTGCGGAGGGGGCGAGGCAGGGGTCTGCAGAATGGGTGAGGACAGTGAGGGCGGAGCCTGTGGGGGCGTGGCCACGGGAGAGGGAGGAGCCTGAAGAGGGGACAAGGCCAGAGGTGGGACATGCTGAGGGGGGGTGGTTGTGGGAGGGGCCTGCAGAGTGGGCAAGACTGAAGGAGAGAGAGGGGGAGAGTCCAGAGGTGGAACCTGTGGAGGGGGCGGGGCAGAGAGAGACAGAGGAACCTGCCGAGGAGGTGAGGCGGGAGGAGAGAGAAGAGCCTGCAGAGGTGAGGCAGGAGGAGAGGGAGAGAGAAGAGCCTTCAGAGGAGGTGAGGAAGGAGGAGAGGGAAGGGGCAAATGGTATGTGGTAGGGGGAGAAGGGGTCTGCAGAGGGGGCGAAGTCAGAGAAGGTTGGGTTTGTATCAGGGAAATGGGCAGGAAAGAAGGTGTGGCTTGCAGAAGAGGGGAGCCCAGAGAAAGTGAGGCCTGCGGAAAGGAGGAAGCCAAAGGAGGAGTGGACTGCAGAGGTGGTGAGGCCAGAGAAGCTGAGGCCTGTATGGGTGGCATGGTCAAGAGAGAGGGAGAGGGCTGTAAAGGGGGCGTGATCAGAGAGGATGGGGCCTGCACAGGGGGCGTGCCCAGGGGAAAGGAAGGGGACTGCAGAGGCTGTGAGGCCAAAGGAGAGGGAGAAACTAGGGGAGCATCCTGCAGAGGGGATGTGACCGGAAGAGAAGGGTCTTGTGAGGGAGGCATGGCCAAAGTAGAGGGGTTGGCCTGAAGAGAGGGCGGAGACAAGACAGGACTGACCAGTGGAGGGCTCACAGTCAGAGTGGAAAGGGCTGGCAGAGAGGGCATGGTCAAGGGAGAGGAGGGATTCTGTGGAGATACTGGCGGAGAAATAGGGGTTTGTAGAGGGGCCATAGCTAAAGGTTGAGGAGCGGACAAAGGAGGTGTGGCCAAGGGAGTCTGAAGAGGGGACCAAGCCGAAGCCTGGGTGGAAAGCACATTCTGCAGAGGAGGTGAAACTGATGTAGCCATGGGCAACGGGGAGACCAAAGCCTCTTGAGGAAAGGCTATATCCTGGCATGTGGGTGGAGCTTGCAGGGGAGGCGTGGCCGGTGGAGAGGGGAGAGTCTGCAAAGAGAGTGGAGCGACCGTGGCTAAAGAAAGGGGCGTGGCTGTCTGGCCAGTTAGTGTCTGTGAATGGGGCGTGACCTGTGGGGAGGATGTGGCAGGAAGATTCAGCAATGCACGTGGAGGTGGTGTGGTGGGTGGAGAGGGAGGGAGTGTGGCCAGCAGGGGAGCCCCGGAGACTTGGGGAAGTGGTGCCTGTTGTACTGTGGAACCAGGTGGCGAGGACGTGGCCAAAGGAGGAGGAGATACCAGGCCCTGCACTGAGGCTGCGTCCTTTCTTGCTGACGTGGCCTGCAGAGGGCGTAGAGTGTGCAGTCCTTTGGACTTGGGCTGCGAGGTATGTGCAGGAGCTCGCGGAGTTCCACGGGCCAAAGCCCCAGAACGAGCTGGGGAGGACAGTGGAGTAGCATTGGAGCCCAGGGGACGAGAGGCCGGCTTTTGGAGGCTCCCACCAGCATTGGGGCGCCTCCTAGCGGCTGGGCTGGGCTCTGTGGTACTGTGTTCTGTTGCACTGCTCACTGATTTCCTGGGCAACTCAGTTGGGGGACGTGGCCGGGCACTTGCAGCTGGTCGGGGGAGTCCTGCTTCTGTGCCCATAGCCTTAGACCTCCGGGCAATGGCTGGGGAGGAGGCTCCTGAGGTGGGCCCTGAAGAGTCTGGAGACAAAGCAGAAAAACGAAAGTGCCAGATACCTCCTGGCTAGTCCCCCTCACATCCAGGAACCACCTCATCCCAGATCACATACCCTTTCGTGCTCCAGAGCTCAGGACACTTTTTTTGGGTGCCTCTGGGGTTTTTCCTCTGGCCACAGGTTCCTCAGCTGGAGGCCTGAGCCCCTTCTGTCCAACAGGGCCTGGCCTGGGGACAGGAGGGACCAGCTCTTTATTAGACCTCCCAAATTTACATTTTCCCATATGTAAAATGGGGCACATACCCTCTCTGCCATCCCCAAATGACTTTCACCCAATTTGCACCTATTTATATGCAAACGTTCCTAAGCCCCTAACTCATGTGTAACATTAGAAAGTTCAGCTCAGCAAAGTGACACAGCCTAATCCCAGCAACTTGGTAAATTGAGGTAGGAGGATCACAAGATCCAGGCCATCCTCAGCAATTTGGCAAGACCCTGTCTCAAAATGAAAAATAAAAAGGGCTGGGGATGTAGCTCAGTGGCAGAGTGCTTGACTAGCATGTGTGAGTCCCTGGGTTCCATCCCCAGTACTGTAGAGACAAAAGAAATTAATAGCAGTTTAGACTGTGACGCTAACCCTTGCTTAGGGAACTAAGGAGGTGGGGCAAGTTACCTGGCAGTCCCGCTGGCACGCCCTGGGCTGGAGATAGAGCCCTGGCCTGGGGTCTTGGCAGAGGCCTTTTCCCCTCTCCCAGCCGCTGCGGGCCTGGAGGCTGCAGGGAGAAAATTTTAGTTAAGGTGCCCCGGAAGGGAGTCTCAGAAGCAAGAGGAATGGGTCGGGGTGGGGTTATGGGCTCAGAACTGAGGGAGCTGGGTACCTGGACTCCGCGGACCTGCTCCAGCGCTCCGAGTCGGTGCCACTCGGGCTGCAGCCTCGGGAACAGCGGCTCCGCTGACGCCCCCACCTCGTTCCGCCAGGGGCCTTCTTCCCATAGCTCCGGTTGCTCCCAAAACTCGAAGGGCTGCGGCGGTTACTGGGGGAGGAGGTCGAGGAGACCCTGGGGGCCTGGGGGTCGCAAGACCGGGAGGGCGAGAAGCCGGCGTCCGCACGGCAGCCCCTGCCTTGGCCTTGTCCTTCTTGTCCATCCCGCACCTGATGAGGAGACCGTCGGATCAGTATCCCAGCTCCTGACCCCCTGCGTTGCCTGTTGGGATCTAGACCCCGGCACCTCGCTGCCCTTTCCCCAGCATCGCCACCCATGGGTGTGCAGACCTCCGCCCGGGCCTGGTTTCCCTTCCTTCCCACACACCCACACCCACTCACGAGCCGGTCTGCTCATCCGAGCGCTCGAGTCCCACCCAACCCCTTTCCCCAGAGCCGAGCGACGCGGCCCGCCCCAGCCCCCTCCCCTCCCTCGCATCGACATCCACGCCCTACCCTTCGCCCCACGGGAACCCCGAAGATCAGCCTCGGCCAGAGAGGGCAGCCAAAGGGTCCAGATGCGGGGGTCCCGAACGCACGCCCTTGTCTCCCCACCGTCCCCCAGCGCCATCCCCCATTCTCCCCAAGGGATGCCAGCACCTGCCACGAGACAGAGCGGCCCCTCGGCCCCGCGAACTGGCTACCGGAGACAAAGAGCCGCGTCCCGGGCCCGCCCCCTCCCCCAGCCCGGCCCCGGCCCGCGCCCGGCCCCTCCACCTGCTCGCGGCTCGCTCACCTCCGGCTCCGGCCTCCCGCCGCTCCACCGAGGGTCGCCTGGGGTGGGGCGGGGCCGGAGCACCGCGAGCGGCGGGAAGGCCAGCGGAGGGGGCTGCAGGCGGCGGCGCCGGGGGAGCCTGGCGGGCCCCGCCCCTCGGCCGCGGGCGGGGAGCCCGGGGCGCGCGCTGGATCCCAACCCGGGAGCGCGCAGAGGGGTGGGGAGAGGCTCGCGTCGGAGGAAGGGGCCGCCTCTCGTTGGTCAGAGGGAGGCCTATTTCCGCGACTCCGCCTAAAGACCCCAAAGACTCAACGAGAGGGACTCGGCGGGGAAATCACTTGGGGACCCCCAGTCCTCCCCACATGCACTCACGCACCTGCTCCGACCAGCACCCCAACCACCTGGAGACCAAGGCCCGCCTGGACGCGGATAGGCTGAGCCCTGGCAACAAGGGGGCGGGACCACCGCGCCTCTGGCCCGCCGACCAATCCAGACACTGTGTCCCTCGTCCCTGTCGTGGCCTTCGTGACTGTGGAAGCCTGGCCGCCCAGGGGTGTCTGGGGGAATCTACCCCAAGGCTTTTCTCAGACCCTATGAAAGCCCTTAGCTAAGGTGGGATAGGTCTTGTTGCTAGGAGACCACGGCCCTGGGAAACTAGAGGATGCGAGGCAGACCCCAGATTTTTGGGAAGAGGAGGAAGGGAAGGATGGGAAAGAGACAAGAAAAACAGTATGGTGAGAGTATGGTATGGTGACAGTATGGTGACCCAGTCTTCTGTAGGGCAGAGCTCTTCCACTTCCACACCCTCCCAGCTCTAGGTCACAGCAGCGAAGGTTTCCCCGCCAGATTTGGGCTTTGGGGAGACAGACTACCAGGGGCCGGGTGGTATCAAAACAAGTGCATGAAGGATCTGAGGACACCTTTTCCGACTGCCTGAATCTAGCTTGAGCAAGTGGGAGGTGTCCTTTCAGATATCTTCACCTGACATCACGGGGCCTCAGCAGAGATTGACATGAAGGGTGTTCAACCAAAACTCTGGAGGTCTAGTGGCCTCCGAAATAAAAGGATTCTTGAGCCATTACAGTTGCTAGACAGAAAAAGGACAAGGTCCTGGAACAAGTTCCCATAACTTTCAGAAGCAGAGCTGGATAGAAGTCGGCAGTATGTCCACTGGGCCTAGAGATAAAAGCATTTTTATAACAAAAATTTGGGGAAGGCAGGCATGAATTGTTTCACTGAACTTTCATGGCTATAGATAAAAGGAACAGGGTAACAAAATCATGCAGAGTTTTCCGATAGGAAACCTACATTCAGGAACATGGTTTTGTTGTTTGGGGACCACTTTTAACTTACTAACTCCCTTATCTCTCCTCCTCCTCCACTCTCTGGCCCTTACAATTAAATTGAGGATGTCTCCGAATTTTTCTCTGATCAAGGGGGTGTAGACTAAAGCAGGCAATGGCCATTCTCAGGTGCCCTGTGCTGACCTCCTGATGAACCTCCCCTTGTATCTGAAGCTTTGTCTCCTCTATCAGCCAAGTTCTCTCTCCATGTTGTGCTTTCTGCCTTGGTGCCTCCTGCCTCCCGGCTCACAGCCCCTCTTCACCCCATCCCAAAGAATCGGCTCCCTGTCACATGTGCACACATGCATGCTCACACATGCACCACTGCACATGGGTATGCACGCATGCACAGAGACATGAGCAATCCATCTTCTGGAACTCAGAGGGCTTCTTGATGAGGGTGTGGCTAGAAGTAGGAGACTGGCACCAAGCTTGGTGCCCATCTGAATTTCCAAAGATGGAAGAAAGAGAAAGATGGCAAGCTCAAAACTGAATGCCCTTAGCCGGGTGTGGTGGCGCATGCCTGTAATTCCAGCGACTCAGGAGACTGAGATAGGAAGATCCCGAGTTCAAAGCCAGCCTCAGCAACTTAGCAAGGCACTTGCAACTCAGTGAGACCCTGTCTTTAAATAAAATATAAAAAAGAGCTGGGGAGGGATGTGGCTCAGTGACTAAGCCCCTCTTAGTTCAATTCCCAGTATGGGGCGGGGGTGGGGGTGGAATTGAATGCCTTGCCTTATCCTCCTGATTGGATCATTCTAGGCCTTACCCCCTCCCCAGGTCTCCTGATTGTCACCTATGTCAGCCACTTGTGGCATGACAGCAGCTTGGCTCCCCTGCCTGCCTGTTCACCCATCTCCAACAGCACTCTCCTTCTTGGTCACTGCCACCTGCCAGAGGCTTGATCTCCTGCCTTCTGACCGTGATGCAGGGGATCCTCCAAGGCTACATTGACCCCACCCTGTATTCAGTTGGGATCTGGACTCTGTTCTCCTATAAAAACACTCCCCAAATGTCGATGAACAGGGGAATGGAGCCAGGTGCAGCGGCATGTACCTGTACACCCAACTACCTGGGAGGCTGATACAGGAGGATCACTTGAGCCCAGAAGATCTGGGTCAACCTGGGCAGCATAGGAAGACCCAGTCTCAACACAGCCAGGGGAATAAACAACACAAATAAAGTATGCCTGCAAGAGAATAGGACTCAACAATTAAACAAAGACAACAACACAGAATACTGGTACACTGAAAATAGTAACTGATCTGAAAAGCATGACAAAGAAGACAACCCCCCCCCCCACACACACACACACTCTATAATTTCATTTATAGAACATTCTAGAAAATGCAAACTAACCTATAGTGACAGAATGCAAATCATGGCTTGCTTAAGGATGGTTGTGGGGGAGGAGGTTAAATGAACCGCCTAGTACAGCCACTCTCAGGTTACTGACCCTCAGAAATTATGTGAAATAATAAACACTTGTTATAAACTGTTAAATTTAAGGGAAATTTGTTACTCAGCAACAGATCTGTGAAATTCACATTTACAAAATCTTAGGGTATTAAATAACAAGTATTCGTGAGAATGTGGAAATATTGGAATCTTTGTGTGCTCTTGGTGGGAGAGTAAAATGGTGCGGCCCCTGTGGAAGACAGTATAGAGGTTCTTCAAAACATTAAATAGATACCACATGATTCAGCAATTCCAATCCAGGACTTACACAAAAGAATTGCAAATGACAATTTAAGGAGATTGTACCCCCCACCATAAACATAGCAGCATTATTCACAATAGCCAAGTGTAAACGGAATAATCCGAATGTGGTCCATCCATACAATGGGATTTTATATTCAGTTTTAAAGAAAATTCTGCCAGGCATGATGGTGCACACCTGTAATCCTAGCTGCTTTGGGGAGGCCAACTCTAGAGGATCACAAATTTGAGGCCAGCCTCAGCAATTTAGCAAGACCCTGTCTCAAAATCTAAAAGTTTTTTTGCCAGGCACAGTGACACACACCTGTAATCCCAGTGGCTCAGGAAGCTGAGGCAGGAGGATTGTGAGTTCTAAGCCAGCTTTAGCAAAATCGAGGTGCTAAGCAACTCAGTTGAGACCCTGTTTTTAAATAAGATACAAAATAGTGCTGGGGTGTGGCTCAGTGGTTGAGTACTCTTGAGTTCAATCCCCCCCCCCCCCCCCCCCCCGTACCAAAAAAAATTTAAAAGTTTTTTAAAAAAGGGACCATAGTAAAGTGTGGCTGGATTCAATATTTAGTACCAGAGACAGGGAAGGAGATAAAAAAAATAAATAAATAAAATTTTAAAAAGATGGAAATTCTGATACATGTTACAATGTGGATGAACCCTGAGAACATTGTGCTCAGTGAAATCAGTCACAAAAGGACAAATACTGTATGATTCCACTTCTATGAGGTCCCTAAAATAGACACATTCATAGAAACAAAAAGTAGAATGGCGGGTATGAAGGCTCGGGGAGGGGAGGGAGAGTTAATTTCAAAATGAACAAGAGTCTGGCAATGGATGGTGGGGACGGATGCACAAGAATATAAATGTCTTCCATGCCCCTGAGCTGTGCACTTAGAAACTGGAGCTGGTAAATTCCACGTTATGTGTATTTTACCAATTTTTTAAAAGCTGGATATTACCATTAGGTAAATTGCCATAGGAATGGGATTGCGAAGTGGGAGCTTCCCATAGAACACTTGGAAGGCATTTTCAGGATTTGAGCTACAAACCAGCCATTCCATTCAGACATCTGCAACTGCAGCAGGTCCCCTGCAGTCCTATCAGTGTCCCTGAGCACTCTCAGTGCCCATGCCCAGGGAGGGCCAAAGGGCCAGAGAGCCGCCCCTCCATTCCCCTTCTCCAGAACAGCTCTCAATGACAGATGGGCTGGTGGCTAGATACTTCCAATTCCCTCACGTCTTTGGTGGAAGAACCTGGAGGTGTCTCCATCATCTCCTAGATTTCCCCCAGCAGAGTGGACTTCAGACTGCCCACAGCACTAACCTGCCTTTTATCCTCATTAACAATAAACTGGCTTCTTGCTCCTCCTAGTCTCACTTCCTCATTTCCCTACTGCTTTATCCCCAGGATCACCTGCCAGATAAACTATTTGCATCAAATTCCTCCTCTCCGAGGGTGAGGTTGGAGGAGATCAAACCAAGACAACCTTCCATTAATCACACATCCATCAATCAATTATTAATGCCTGCTGTGTCAGGCACCCTTCCAAGGGCCAGCAGGAAGCAAAAGCCAAGTGACTAGGGCTGGTACTCCACTGACTAGGATTCTTGCACAAGGAGAGAAGCATTTGCATAGATTGCAAACAAACCTCCGGGGCATGGATCCCAAGGACAACCTTTCTGAAAGGTCTGAGCCTCCGGGAGGTCCTAGGAACACTTTTTCCGGGGCCACTGATTCAGCCTGATTTGTTATAACTACAGCACTTGTCGGAATCTGGCACTATCTTATTCCCGCAATTGTTTGTGTACTTAATGTCTGTCTAGAAAAGAAACTCTGGGTCTAGGATGTAGCTCAGCAGAAGAGTGGCTTGAGTAGCACAGGTGAGACCCTGGGTTGCATCACCAGCACCAAAAACAAAACAAAACAAAACAAAAAACAAAGAATCTAATGAACACCCAAGAAGTTTCTGGACTGCCTGCGGTAGTACCCAGAGGGCCTTTGATTAGGCGAGCCCAGCTCTAAATGCCTCAGGCTGTCTCAGACATTTTCTTTTCCTCCATGGGGGA